ATCTGTTTCTATTCTCCCGCTTGCAAGCACAGCTCCTTTCTAATTCTCCTTCTTTCACTCACATGCACCCTGTCTCATCTTAAAAGCAGCTGCTGGTGCTGTCAGCCTTGTCCAACAGTCTTTCTCTAATCTCCTTTGTACAATCTCACCACCTAAGTCACTCTTAAAGGTAGGGAATTACAAGGTTAAGTCAAGACTTAAACATGCTGAGAGCTCATTCCACTCTCTGGCACAGCAACAGCAAAGTACTACTATAACCGAAAGCCAATACTATTGCTGCAACGATATCAGTGATCAATCTATCAATTAATTTTCTTATTGATAATGTCATTTAATCTGTAAAATACAGTACAGAGTAGTTAAAAATGTCCATAAAAATGATCATGCTCTTCAAACTGTCCTTTTATAATGACTGACAGTCCAAACTTATTCAGCATTTTCAAGTCCACCCATATCATCTTTTCTATTTCATGCAAATAAATTGGTTGTCAAAAGTTTGTTATGTCATCTGTATTTATTCATTAGATTTTATTTTATTAGTCCTTACTGATTTATTATTTTTGTCACTTGACTCATGAAGTGGGTATAAAATTGTAATTCTCTGGGTGTACATCTTTCAGGGTAGTAATTCCAAAGCGCTCAGTAAGTGGAGTGGTAGTTTAAATCATTAATTAGATTTAATTAGATAGTTATGAGGAGAAATACCCTGTTGTATTTGTCTCCATGACTGTCTCTGGGGTGCTGACTAAATTCTGTAGACCCTTCACATCAATTAACAGCTCTGCTGATTCCTCGCTCTCTCCACTTGTCTACCATTACACTCACTGCTATCCTCTAATCTCTTGACCACCATGTGTTCACCTGTCTTTTTAGCCATGTTTTTGTTGCTTTTCCATCTTGTTTCACTGTATCCATCACTATCATCTCTCTCTCCCGCTCTCCTTTAGTCTTTATCTACCTCCCATGTTCTTTTTCTCTCCATCCCACTTTTCATTGCTACATCCGTCTTCTCCTCCTCTTTTCTCCCCATCTTCATTACCACCATTTATCACTGCAGCTATTTACATTTCTATTTTTCTCACCTTACATCCCACTTGTCCCTCCCTCCCCCTGGTGCTTCCCCTCATTGCACCATCATTTTCTTGGTGTGTCTGCCCTCCTCTTTTACTTTCTGGGTGAAATGAACACCCATTGGTTCCTCCTGATCATTTCATAGGCAAGCCAAGACATGAAAATGGCTCCATTAAAGCATTATGAGGCAGATCCATAACAACTATCAAAGCTAAGTAGAAAAAAATGCATTTCCTGTCATGAATGCGTGTGGATGCTAATAGGCTGAAAGCTCGTCCTGAAAATGCCTGAAATCAATTGCTGAAACAGCTGAAAGATGAGAAGAAATGGCTGAAGTTCTTTGTTGAAATAGTTGAGAAAAAATAGCTGAAGTTCTTTGTTGAATAATCTGAAGGATGAGATGCAATACAGTAGGAATGTCCTTGAAGAGCTGAACATTTTGATACCTGAATGGCTTTTCTAGCTGAAAATTTTGCCCATTCATTTGAATAGGGCAAAATTTGCTGGAAAAAAGCTGAATATTTTAAAAAGTATAAATGTTACAAAAAAAAGAATTATACAAGCACACATGTCCTAGAAGAGCTGATAGAAGAGCTGAACATTTTGATAGCTGGATGGCTTTTCTAATTCAAAGTATGCTGAACTTATTAAGATGTGAAAATGTTCCCGTTGGTCCCCACAAAGTAGTTAAAACAAGTAGGCTAGTGTGTGTGTGTGTGTGTGTGTGTGTGTGTAACTGTGTGTAGGTGTGTGTGTGTGTGTCTGTCAGAGTAGTCCTACCTACTGAGGACTACTACAGTGTTGCTACTGAAATGAGGCCTAAAATGTAAACGTAATTATGTAAAAACTGTAAAAGATATCAAAATGCTGTGTACATTATGAATAGCTGAAGAGTTGCTGAATAGATAACAGTTGAAATAGTAAACCGCAACCAAAATAACCTTGGAAATCAACTGGACTTGGATATCTAGATCGAAGGCATTTCACCTCTCATCCAAGAGGCTTCATCAGTTCTGACTGACTGGTGTTGAGTCGGAGATATTTATCCCCCTCGGTGTGGTTTCAGTCC